CCAATTAAGACAGATGTTGAGATTTTGTCATTGTTGCTCACAGGAGGCCCCTTGTGGCCTGAGCCGCTAGGCATGTGGCCATAAAACCTTTGGGATGATCCAGGCCTGCTTGGCAGTGCGCTAATCTTGAGTCATCGAGAACTGATGCTAACTGGTGCTAACTAATGTTGTAGGTTGTAGGGAGTTCAGTGGCAGAACACCAGCTTTGTTCCAGAACGCTGGGTTTGTTCCAGAACACTAGGATTGTTTCAGAACACTGGCTTTGTGGCAGAACTCTAGGTTTGCTCCAGAACCCTACGTTTGCTCCAGAACCCTAGGCTTGTTCCAGAACACTTGGTTTGTTGCAGAACTCTAGACTTGTTCCTGAATGCTGGCTTTATTGCAGAACATTGTATTTGAATACTGTTGCAGAACAGTGGGCTTATTGCAGAAAACTGGGTTTGTGGTAGAACAGTGGCTTTGTTGCAGAACACTGGCATTGTTGCAGAACCCTGAGTTTGTGGCAGAACACTGAGTTCGTGGCAGATCAGTGGGTTTGTTGCAGAACACTGGGTTTGTTCCAGAACACTGGCATTGTTGCAGAACCCTGAGTTTGTGGCAGAACAGTGGCTTTGTGGCAGAACTCTAGGTTTGCTCCAGAACCCTAGGTTTGCTTCAGAACCCTAGGCTTGTTCCAGAACACTTGGTTTGTTGCAGAACTCTAGACTTGTTCCTGAATGCTGGCTTTATTGCAGAACATTGTATTTGAATACTGTTGCAGAACAGTGGGCTTATTGCAGAAGACTGGGTTTGTGGTAGAACACTGGCTTTGTTGTAGAACACTGGCTTTGTTGTAGAACACTGGCTTTGTTGCAGAACACTGGCTTTGTTGCAGAACACTGGCTTTGTTGCGGAACACTGGCTTTGTTGCGGAACACTGGCTTTGTTGCCGAACACTGGCTTTGTTGCAGAACGCTGGCTTTGTTGCAGAACGCTGGCTTTGTTGCAGAACGCTGGCTTTGTTGCAGAACGCTGGCTTTGTTGCAGAACGCTGGCTTTGCTGTAGAACACTGGCTTGTTCAGAACACTGGTTTGTTGCAGAACACTGGCTTTGAGAACATTGTTTTGTTGCAGAACACTGGCTTTGTTGTAGAACACTTGGTTTGTTGCAGAACACTGGCTTTGTTGTAGAACACTGGCTTTGTTGCAGAACACTGGCTTTGTTGTAGAACACTGCTTTTGTGGCAGAACACTGGCTTTGTTGTAGAACACTAGCTTTGTTGCAGAACACTGGCTTTGTTGTAGAACACTGGCTTTGTTGCAGAACACTGGCTTTGTTGTAGAACACTGGCTTTGTTGTAGAACACTGGCTTTGTTGTAGAACACTGGCTTTGTTGCAGAACACTGGCTTTGTTGCCGAACACTGGCTTTGTTGCAGAACAGTGGCTTTGTTGCAGAACACTGGCTTTGTTGTAGAACACTGGCTTTGTTGTAGAACACTGGCTTTGTTGCAGAACACTGGCTTTGTTGCAGAACACTGGCTTTGTTGTAGAACACTGGCTTTGTTGTAGAACACTGGCTTTGTTGCAGAACACTGGATTTGTTGCAGAACACTGGGTTGGTTGCAGAACACTGGGTTTTTTTTTTTTTAGAACACTGGGTTTTTGTGGAACACTGGGATAACGGCAGAACACTGAGTTTGTTGCAGAACAGTTGGTCACTACAACCAGTCATTTGACTGTGTGCTCTTTGATATGAGTCTCTGTCCTCTAAATTGGTGTTTTTTGGGCATCAGTCCGGAGGAGCCGAGACCTGTACCGTGGTGGGTGGCACTTTCAGTCTGCTAACTATGCTCACATTAGTTCAGACCAGGTTTGATTTCGGCTTTCTGTCACTCCATCACCACTCATTCAACTTTGCTGTCTCAGACTTGAGTTTTGGTCAACTATACACGTAACAGCAGACCACCAGTTGGTCAGAATCAAACCTGTTTTGTGGTGTTTGGATCTGTAGGCCACTGGAATGGTCACTCTCCATGCTCAGAACTGTTTGGCCCTACAGTGGAGGGTTTGGTTTGTTGATGTTTGTTGGGTCAGTGAGCTTTGGCCTTTAGAGCTGTAGGGTGTCTGGAACACCACAGCGAGGTTCTAACTGACTCTCTTTGACTTAGAGGCAGGCATGGCGCTGCTGTGTTCTGTCTTTAAGGAAACCATAGAACTGCAGAACATCTAACTGGAGGCAGTCAACCCAAAGCTGGCTTTAAAAGAGGCGTTAACTGACTTTTCCCTCCTTTCTTCATTCCATCACATTCCTGTGAACAGATGTTGTGAGTCTGACACAGCCTTTCATAATAGGCAATTTCCCACACTGTGCTTAATCATGTCTTTGTCTGCCGCACACTGTACCGCTAAGCTCTTTCTTTCCCCAAGAACGCAATGGGTTCATTAACCTTTCAGATCGCGCCGCACACAGAGGCGCCCGTTGCCATAGCAGTACACACACAATTGTTCGGCGAGACACTTTGAAACTTTTTCTGCTGGCTCGGGGACGGTCGCTGCAGTTTGTTTGTTTGCCTTTGCAGTTTAACAGTGATGAAAAAAAGTCTGTAAATTCAAAGGCTTTAATTGCTCCATAGTGCAAGGCTTTCGGCTGTTACTGGAGTTCACTAGTTTAAGAAAAGTGTTGTTTGCCAGCTTGCTAGTGTCACTTTCAAGGCTACTGATTGGCCCACTGCCCAGGGTTTCCAGCCACTGAATATAATTATGATCACTTTTTATGTTTTTCCTGTAACCGTATCAGACAGACGACTCTGCAATAGTGTGTGGCCTCGTCATAGTTCCATTCATCTCTTCAGGAGCAAAAGGTGCACATTAAATATTAAGATGCTTTAGGTTTTTAGAAAGGAGGATTAAAATGGTAAATATCAATGTAGATAATTAGCTTGAAAATGGCTAGAAGCTTTAGCAGAGAAAAATGCTCCACTTTTATACAAGCAAATTAAGTGCTGTGTGCACCTGAGGGGAAAGGACGGGCCACTGGAAAAAGGTTAGATACTTAATTGTGGCTGGAGACAGGCTTACACTAAAACAGAGTAGGCCCAACACTAAAAAACTGCGTTTTACATCAGCCCAAGGCTGTACATTCTGACTATATTGCTGTACGAGCCAATCCAGGGTCAATAAAGCGGCTTAAATATCTGTAGTGTGGACTAAAATGAAAAACTGAAGTATCTGCAATTCCAGTCTTTGACTGCTTAAACCAGCCACCTTTCATGGAAAATGCTGGCATACAAAATGAGAAAGTGCGCTATTGTGCTTTGAGTCTATTTTTTGCTGCTTACCATGAATGTATGCGCTTCTAGAGGCGCTTCTATGCCTCTAGAAGCGCATACAAAATACACAACAGCAGAGGCTCCCACCTTTTTTTCCTCACAGACCACACAAACGACCACCAAAGCTTCCGTGGCCCACAAGAAGATTTAACCAAACCCAATCATTTCTTCTGAATCACCTATTGAGATTGCTGAGCTTGTTTGGCAGATACCAAAGAGTGGAAGAGTGGAAGATGCAGCAAATGCAGTTGTGGCTCAGTTCAACAGGGTTAGATGCATATTCGCTGTGTTTACTCTACACTGTTGTATTTTTCTTACCATGTTAGGAAAACCATGCTAAACAGTTTGCAAGAACTCCATGTCAAACCATGTAGAAATGCCACTGGAACGGTCACTCTCCATGCTCAGAGCCTACAGTGGAAAAGAGGGTTTGGTTTGTTGATATTGTCTGGTGTTTGTTGGGTTCGTGCGAGCGGTAGCACACCCAGAACTTCAAAGCAAGGTTCTAACTCACTCTCTCTGACTTTAGAGGCAGCCATGGGACTGATAAGCTTTCTTCATACTGTCACTTCATTCTTATAAGGAAACTGATGCTGTCTGTCTTAGAAGTAACTGTAGGACATCAACTGCAGAACATCTACCTGGAGGCAGTCAGCCTAAAGCTGGCTTTAAAAGAGGCGTTAACTGACTTTTCCCCTCTTTTCTTCATTCCATCACTCCGTTTCTCTGAATAGATGTTATGAATTTGACACAGCCTTTCATAAAAGGCAATAAAATATCATAATAGACACGTGAAGCCCAGAAACATGTTTGTTTCGGTTTATGCTTGGTTTTCTCAGTGTTCTCTGAGATGGTGGCCACTTCACTTGTCGATTTGCCTGTGGACGAATACATACATTTATGGAATGTATTGAGTGAGGAGTGAATGGTACATTTGGTAACTTTAACAGTTAAAAAAAAATTCTTTATTAAATATTATTAAGTATTAAGTATTATACAAGAAAACTGATGATTCTGTGATTTGAGCCCTTCAAATGGGACAAAGCCAAAGTCTCTGAATGTGTTGCTGATGATAAGTTAGGTAAGACAGGATTAAAGATGTGCTTTTAGACTGTCTGCAGTCTGGCCCCACTTGGTTTGAACTGCAGCCAAGTTAACTTTATGTAATATTCATCCACAAATCCAGCAACCCAAGTAACACACACAGAGTTAATAAACCCAGAGATGGGAAACATTGTCATTTTCTGCTATATAAAGACTGAATCTTAATATATTACTTGGCTAAGTGTTCCAACACTATAGAAGTCTTAACAGTCATAGATTCACAAATCTTATTTACTTTGTTTTCCAGTAAAAACACTCATGAATTAAACACTTTATGGTGCAATGAATGTATTACATTTTTTTTTCATATTTCTTATTTTTCTTGCTTTTTTGATTGCATTGTTCAGCATTGTTAAAGTTTGAAAATGTACCATTTACTCTCCAGTTCATGTGCAGAAACTAGGCTGCAAAAACAGCCCATTCTGAATTTACTGTTTTTGTGATGTTACCATAAATCCTCCTATTCAGACTACAACAGTTTAGCCCCACCCATTTACACTGACGTTATATGGAGTGTTTCTCAAGAGTATATTTAAAGACAGAAATAGCTGCTCAGCATTAAAAATTTTTTCTGTCTGCTCCTTAGGTACTTCCACACCATCTACCTGGGCATCCGAAGCAGGCGGAGCGGAGAGAATGACCGCTGGAGGTTCTACTGGAGGATGGTGTATGAGTATGCTGATGTTAGCATGCTCCATCTGCTCGCCACATTCCTGGAGAGCGCCCCCCAGCTGGTCCTCCAGCTCTGCATCATCATACAGACGCACAAGCTCCAGGCCGTCCAAGGTAAAACAGTGTGGCCAGAGAGGGTGACTGTACACTGCGTGTCAAAGGTTTGGGAATGCTTAGCTTTCCAAATGGTTTTTACACAAATGAGCATTTTTCCTTGCTTGTAATAGCTAACTAGGTTTATTTCATTATTTTAAGGCTTTTAATACATGAAAAAAACTGTCAAATCATAATTTGGGTAAGGCATACCCTTCTAAGTAAAATAGGGAGCGTTCCCAGAGTCCAATATTCCCAGGGAATGTTCCCAGGGTCCTATGTTTACAGGGCTCAATTTTCCCAGGGTGCTATGGTCTCAGGACCTTACATTCCCAGAGCTCAATATTCCCAGTGTCTTATGCTTCCAGGGTCCTATGTTTATAGGGATCAATGTTCCTAAGGGAATGTTCGCAGGGCCCTATGTTATCAGGGCCTTGCGTTCCCAGGGTGCTATGTTCCCAGGCTCTTACATTCCCAGGGCTCAATGTTTCCAGGATTATGTTTTCCCAGGGTCCTGTGTTCACAGGGTGTTATGTTCCCAGGGTCCTATGTTCACAGCGTCTTATGTTCCCAGCGTCCCATGTTCCTAGGGCTAAATGTTTCCAGGGTCCTATGTTCACGGGATCCTATGTTTACAGGGCTCACTGTTCCCAGGGGACTATGTTCTCAGGGCCCTATGTTCTCAGGGCCTTATATTCCCAGGGCTCAAAATTCCCAGGGTCCTATGTTCCCAAGCTCATACATTTCCAGGGCTCAGTGGTCTTATGTCCCCAGAATCTTATGTCCCCAGGGTCTTATAGTCCCAGGGTCTCATGTTCTCCGGGCCTTATGTTCAGAGGCTCTTATGTCTCAAGGGGTCAATGTTCCCAGTCCAATTATGTTCCCTATTAACAACAGTCATCATCAGATCAAGGGTGAATAAAATAAGATGAAACACACAATATAATAAAATAATCTGGTGTCCAAAATTAAGTATAAATTCTGCTTTAACTAATTTATTCATCAAGCAAAGCTTTCAAACAACATTTCAAAGATTTTTACTTCGGATAAATATAATGGCCTGTTCTTATGATAAAAATCCAAAGTTTGCAGTGGGCTGCAGGAACCCAAACATGAAATTTTAACCCAACCTGAGCCCAAACACATATTAGGGAAATGACGTTCAAACTCAGGCAAACCCAACAAGAGCATTGGGGTCCCGCCGGGTTTGGACGAACATCAAGCTCTACAAGCTCCAGTAGTCCAGTTTGACCGGCGGTGTGTATGACAGATAGTTAACATTCTTCTATAAGAGGGATTTAATTTCACATCAAACCACTCTGAACAACTTTGTTTTTTTACTTGACATAAACTACCATTACACCAGTTTGCTGAACAGCTAGGCATTTTGCTGGCTACAGTAAAATCTCAGTAAGGTCCCAGGTGCGGTGAGGGTCCTTGTAGCTGGACATGAGTTTGTGTGTGTGTGGTAGAAGAAGTGTGCCAGAGAGCTCCCAGCCATAGCTACTGTCATTCAGTGTTCACATCTCCTACAGGAGAGAGAGAGAGAGAGAGAGAGAGAGAGAGAGAGAGAGAGAGCTCTGTCACTGCACTTTAAAGACACTGCCACTTTCACTGCTGTAAAGGAGATTTAACATCCTCTGGTGCCTCAGCTGTGGTGTGGCTTGTGTATGTGTGTGTACTTTAACAAGCGAGGCAAAGAGAGATTTCCACTGCTTTTTCAGGAGATTTGCCAAAAGTGAACACTTTGTGCTTCTTTCCTGTGAGAAAAATAGCCTTTTTTTAAGCTAAACCTTTGGCGTGTAAAATGAGCGAGCTTGTGTTTAACGACTCACATCTTGACTCTGCACTTCTGAAACACCTTTTTGCCGTCACTCACTCTTTTTTAACACTCTGGATGAGAAGGAAAAATAATCAGTGACTCATAGAACCAGGCCTTCAGTTCGGGCCATAACTGTCAAAACTCAAATGTCAAAGCGATGCTAATTTCTGCTATGGGATTCTAGTGGCAGGTTAGCACTAAGCTAAAAGTGAAACATTTTTTGGCCATTCTAGATTAAACACAGACATTTGAAGCTTGTAAAAGACGATCCATGTTTTAACTGAAGTTTGTAACAGTTATTAATAACTATTTTACCTTGTATGTAGCATTTTTGGTAAATATCTCTGGCATAGAGCTGCTTCTGTTTTGCTTTTCTAACAACTGACTGAAACCTGGTCAAATTACTGCTCCTATTCCGTCAGTAATGTATCTAAGGCTTCCAGAAGGCTTGGTTCTCTCATAAAAGTGGTCTTACTCCTTGAAAATTAAATAACTAATTGACTCCCTTGTCATGTCTTAATTTTGTTGGTAGTTGATCTAATAATGTCAGTCCAGCTCCTGAAGTCCTAACTAATGGGACAGTTGGCTTGGCTGTATTTAACTCAAAAAGAATTCTGATTGGATAATTTTCACTATAAACACTATTTTGAGTGATCCTTTATAGATGATGAATAAACTCTTTGCAGAGTATCAGTAACACATCAATATCAGTGAAGTAGCAATAGTGAAGCATCTGAACACATTGAGGTAAATATCTTAAAGATGTGCTGTTGATACAGTACTTACATTACGTTTTGTTGATATGTTACATGAAGTAGATTTTACATGGTACTTATATTAAGAAGACCTAACCTTACCAACCTTACCCTAATCCTAACCCTCACCCTGGCCTTAATCCTAATCCTAACCTTAACCTCAACACAAAACCTTATCCTAACCCTAACCCTGCCCCTAATCCTAACCCTCACCCTGGCTTTAATCCTAATCCTAACCTTAACCAAAACTTAATCCAGGTACAGAATGGTGTCAGTGTGTCTACACCAGCTTGTTGAGGATGTTGAGATGGCCTGTATTAAACCTGTTACATATTCAGTGACTTCTCTGATCAACATCTGCAGACGCTTAAAAAAAAAGTCAAAAAAATGAATTCAGCAGATTATAAACTAATTTTATTCACATAGTCAATTGAAAGAAATTAATAATCTACAGAATGTATTCACTGCTGCTACATCGTTGATATGTTGTTGATATGATATGTTGATATGAGTCGAATTGAATATTTATTTTATCTAAAAAAGACCACTCACAGCGTCACCCAACAATATTTGCTTCTCTTAAATACAACCATGGTAATTACATTAAATAAAAATGAACTACAAATTACAGACATGAATCTTTTTTACTTTACAGAAATCATTAGGCCTTCACTGGAGGCCAAGAAGGCCCTGATGGTCGCCCTCTAAAAATAATGTAAATTCTTATTAATACTTTGTTTGTGAAGTCACTCATAAAAAGGGAAAAACAATGGATTTACATGGAACTGTAAAGAAACATTAAAGCTAAAAAGGCTTATATATATATATATATATATATATATATATATATATATATATATATACTATACATATATATCTGTCAATGCATTTAAGCTATCATAGCAGGTAAAATGAGTCAGCATGTATTTTGACTCACTTCACTTACACGTCTGGTGTTCACTTGGTGTTACCCGCTCTTACTGAGTGCACTGCCTGAGAAGAACAAATCCATTATATTACTATGAGAAGTCCAGTCAGCTGACAGAAAGGAGTAACAAGGAGTGAATTTACACTGTGCCTCAAACACTTCAGCTAAACATGCTAATATATGGCTAAAAACACAAGAAAGCCAGCATGATCTCATTTGAATTGTGCTAACTGGGCCTTACAGCTTTAGTCCACTATTAGCAACTGTATTCGCAACATATTAGCGCCATAACTAGCATGTTTAGATCCTCTAAAAGCCTCTTTCTGACCTGCTTTTGACCTTAACCTTCTCAAGCTCTATTTTCCTTCACCCTCAGTGAGGACACAGACGCAGCTGTTCCATTTAGACTTGATTCTATTTCTCTTTCCATTTGCTGAGACGTAAGTTACATCTTCAGAGCTGTTGCGCCGCAGGGCCTTTGTAAGACCTTATTTAAGGTTATTATGAACGCTGCGGAGAGCTGGTAGGTTTGTGGGATTGAAGATGTAATTAAAGGTACAATTAGCCTTGAATGTTTATGGTGTACAGAGCAGTAGCTTTCTTGGAACCTGATTAATACATGAGTATACGGGAAATGGTCAGGAAGATATACCCGAAGATATAGCATTTGTTATGCATCTGCCCCGAGGCCTACCTGTTCCTCTGTGGATTATTCTGTGTTAGCCCACAGAACCGAGTATATTTGTGAACATTTCGGTCATCCATATTCCATAACACCTTATATACGTGCAAACAGTTGATTTTTACTCTCTGAAAAATTCTCGAAAGGCTGTCATGCTGTATCTTTGCCTTATGACTTACAATAGTAGAATATTTAAACAACTGAACTGTCAGACTGTCAAGAAAATTCCCCTTGTATCAGTAGTGAAATATCTTCAAGGCTATACTGGTGCTGGCCAATGTATCACTTGTACTAGTACACCGATATTAGTGTTACACAATAATGTTGATGGAATATTCATAAAAAAACAAAAACATAAAGGGTTTCACCAATTTTATAAGACAAAGTCATTTAGAGTGGTTTGGTGTGAAGAGGTTCATTCTGGAAATGAATTGGAAACCAACTCACATTTCTTTACAGTGGTGGTGATAGGAACCAGGAGTCACAATGTCTACGATACAAATATAGCCATTTTATTTATTTCCCCAAATGACCAGTGAACCTTTATATGTCTTCTGAGTCTTTTTATGAAATGTTGATGATGGTAAAAAAGTGGTAAAGTTTTCTTTGGTTACTGTTTTGCCTTGTAACACCCTTCCTGTACACCTCTGACATGAATAGATCTAAAAAAGAAGCAAAAACTTACATCAAAACTATCGTAAAACAGTGTCTCAGGTATCAGACAGTGTATTTATAAGCATTTTATGTAATAACTTTCTGTGATGTTGCTTTCAGAGGCGTTAAACTCTTTGGACGTCTGGTTTCTGTCACCAACACTGCGAACAATTCTGACCT